AATGCATCCTTGTACCTGTTTGTCAGCGTGGGCGTCTCTAAAGTCCCCTCTCAACTAACATCATGCATAAGTTGATTTAACTGCTGAAGACTTGGATGCCATTTTAGAGAGGCATCCTGGCTTTTTTTATGCCCACCTCTGTCAGCTTTTTGGGGAATATCTCTTGGTTAATGTAGAGAGAGATGCCATGTTTCTTAAGGCTCAGGAAAATGCATTAGATCAGCCCCAATACCTGAAAAAATGAGAAGTCAGTATGTGTTCTGAATTATCAGTCCCAAAATTCTTGCAGGCCACTGGGGGATTATAACAACCCGTGCAGAATGAGTCCCTACGGCTGAGTGGTGCATCCTGGAAAGAATACTGCACAATCTTTGACTGAATCTTTTTAAATTTACTAGCATACAGAACGTGATTTTTAAAAATCAGAAATGTGGCTCCATGTATGCCATTCCATGCCCAAAGTGTATTATGAGTAATGCGTATTCATATAGATACTGAATTTATACAAACAAGAATCTTATTTGTTCCTTTTATGGTGAGAGTCGACTAATTTTAAAAGAAATTTTTTCAATATGCATTGACCTTTCTAATAAGTTCCCTCTATCTCTGACTGGAAACTGCATTGAACGTCCACGTTTCAAATTATGTTTTTAACAAGAAATTTCAAATTTCATGTTAATTCAATGTAGAAATACTTTAAGGTATGACCTGTTACTTGCAAACATGGTCAGTTTTAACAGTGAGCTATGCTGCAGTGACTGCAGATGCTTGTTTTCTCTTAAGCTTCCAGCACTATTTGCAAAGTCCTCTACTGCCTTTTACTGTACCATGAGAAAAGTAACAGCAGTCCTCTGCCTCACATGACAGATTCTCTTGTTAAAGAGGGTTGTCTGCTTTTTCTCATTGTCGGAATTCAAATTAAAAAGAAATAATTCAAAAATAATGAATAAAACATCCTGTTAAATTAATATTTTCCTTGAGTAAAGGGACTTGCTGGCCTTTGTTGTGATTTACAGTATTAAATTGTGGTGATACAAAACAATTTCAGAACCAGGATCCTAGCAGTTTATCACTTTTTCTGCATAGCCTGGTAGGTAGCAGATACTGAATTTTTGCTATTATGATGGATTTCTGAGTCTAAAATTTTTCACCTACTTATAGGAAGCCAAAAGAAAAAGAGATTCCTTAATTATGCCCACGAAGCAGTACTAGCCAGAAAGAGTTTTCCCTGTCTAGTTTTGAGTCTGCATTTTACCTGATGTGTTGGACACACACGTATCTCACATTCATGGAGCACCCAGGAATGGGCACTGATGTTTTGATGCCTGACAGAGGGCCTTGGCAGTATTTCCCTCTTGCACTCGTAGCGGCGCAAGCGGAAGCCAAGCAGATGTGCTTTTGCTTAGAAGGTGAAATCGCATCTGTGAAATTTACCTCAATAGCACAGTGTGTGACTGTGTTTTCAGCCCAATATTTAATTTTTAATTTCCTGCAGTTAGGGCATTAGAATGCAGTAAACATTCCAGGCATCCCATTCCCTTCAGACTATTTATGGTCCTTTCATACCATGTGCCAAGAGGCTGGATATTTGGACCAGAAGTCAGCAGACAAAGAAAATTCCTCTATCACCCTGATAAGATTCATGCCTGGAAGATTCCAATTCCCACTGCCTCAGTCTGTGAGCCCTACAGTTTTACAATAATTCTGTGCTTATTTACTGGTGATCTTTGTTGTTGAAACATGAAGATCATCATCTATACCAGAAAGAAAAATTTCAATTAAATTTATGGATTAAGCAAAAAAATTATTAAAAGCACTTCATCTCACTGTTTGGTCATGCCAGTATTAACTTAAAAAGCTCAGTAATGCTATGCCAGCACTCATGACTGCAGATGAGCAAGCACAAGGCCATCAGTCCAAGTGCAAGATGCTGCTTAGAGCTGGGCAGTTTGTATTCACTCCCTTGAGGAGTCTACCTGCATTGATCTGGCAGCTTTTAAACATCATTCAGAAAAAAAAAAAATGCTGCACAGTATGAAACAAGAGAAGGAACCAATGTACAGAGACCAATAGTTTTCAATAAAGTGAAAAACTTATCATATGAAAACTATTAGTTACAGCTGTAAAACCCCAAGCATCTCAACTTAATGAACAGTTGTTTGACTAACAAATAAACTGATTCTATTTCTGAAAATGTATTCCAAGACTTGTACCTCAAACACAGTATATGGTTAAACCTGTCAGAGTTATTGATTGTTCCTTGTAGCATTGTACGCCAGTACCTTGATATTTATGGACATGTCAGCATTTCTGTTGTAAATCTTCTCTAGGATTTATAACTTTACAAGAAGTGGCTCTGGGCTAATACACAGAATTAGGAGGCCTTAGCCTGAGAAGGAAAAAATATTTCAACTTTCCAAAACAATTAGTTCATCTGGTTTTGCTGCTAAGCATATTTTTGAAATGATATGTAGTAGCTCTGAAAGCACTTTGGCTTTTTACCTAAAATGTTAAAAATTTTTATAAACCTTTCCTGGTGTATAGCAAACTATATGTCATAAAATTATAATTTTTTTATACACAAGTGACTTTTTTTTTTTAACTGCACAAGTATGACCTTCTGCCTCCATCAGTTAAATGAAGTGGTTTTTTACACTGCCTAACTCCAAGGTAATGCTGTGTCTGTTCAGGGTGCTGTATGATTTATAGTGTGTAAATCTGCGTGTTAATGCCTTAAAAAGAATTTCATTACTCACCATCGTGCAACACAAATATTTCTGTAAGATGTGGTTGGTAAACCAGTTATGTATTGGGAAATAGATTTGCATGACTACAGCTTTAGATAATTTTAAATTTCTCATGGTATTTGAAAGCCATTTAATGCCCTGGATTTACTGTATGGTCATTTGCAGCTTCTGAACAGAAAAACCCTAGATAAGTGAGGAAGAGTAACTTGAAATGAAGCCTGTTTTGATCTCATCTATGTCTGGCAACAGGCCTATTGAGCTCTGTTACGTACAGAGTGTGGGCAAAGCTGCATCCTCTAGGAATGGCTTGGCCGCATCTTCAACAGTGATCAGTGTAGTAAGAGTCTGTTTAATAAATTACTTTTTGTCTGAGTGGAAAATAATCGAGGGAGGTCCTAAACAGCAGAGGCCTTTAGCTCATCACTCACAATGTCATTTGCATTCTGCACTAGCATGTGTTCATTTGCAAGCAGTGTGATGCCTTTTTAATGCAATATATGCGCTCCCTCTGGTCCTCAGCTTTTCTTTCATCTTGGGTCTGTCACCAAGGCCAGGGATGTCAGTCAGTTGGTTGTTCGTACTTAAGCCATGTCAGAAACAGGGCCTCAAAAAATATATATTTTTGTTGTTGTTTTGATTGTTTGTTTGGGGTTTTTTTGTGTGTATGATCCAGATAAAATGGCAAGAAAGATAGATGGTATTTAGGTCAAAGCTTTATGCTTATGAGCATCAAGACAGGATGTGGAAACACCAAAGATTATGCTTTGTCAGATTTGATCTAATCAAAAGGATGATTTTTGTTGAAAATTTTGAACAAAAGCAGAAGAACAAAGAAGTAAAGATTTCATTATAGTTTCTTTTGTTTAAAAGGTGGTTCTGGCACAGGTGCTACTGAGAATTTGGGCGCTGACGGTTGGGGTTTATTCCCTTTCTCCCAGGTTACTGTAGGTGGAGAGGAATGGCACTACATTGCTACCCAAGGACCTCTACCACACACATGCCATGACTTCTGGCAGATGGTGTGGGAACAGGGAGTGAACGTTATAGCCATGGTCACAGCTGAAGAGGTACGTGAAATCACAGCATACAGTTCTTCCTGATGTGAGGAAATCTCCTGTTATCATCACTTCCTACTTGAGTAACCTGTTTTTTCTATCAACATCCCTTTTTCCTATAACTCTGTTTGAACATATGCCTGTACTTCTCTTGTACTATACTTTGTAGCATTCTGATACTCAGTTTGGCAAGTGCTAAAGCAAACAAACAGAAGCCCCCCCCTTGCCCCTGTTTTGGCCAAGCCAAACAAAGATGTTTCCACTGGAATGTGAGAACACTGAACTGCTCCTGGACAAAGTTCCACACCATCCAAGGCCAGTTCTGCATACTGTCACTCTTATCAGCTGAAAAGAGACCAGAAGCTGTTGTTTCCATAGAAGTGTCCATGTAAAAAGACCCCACAAAACAAAACACAACAAAAATAAAAACAAAAACCCCCCACAACTTTTTATTCTAATGCCAAGCAAAACAGTTATTTCTACCGTACTCCAAGAACCAGGTGATATGTTATAAAAAATGACACACGTTGTTAACTTAACACAGCATCCAACTTTATGCCTTGTTGCTTTCGGCAAACAAACACAGGGAGTAGCAGAGCACATCAAGTCACTCTCCAGTTCCCAAGGCTGATCAGGAGCAGATGCTTGGAAGCTGCTGAAAAGAATCTCCTTCCATTTAAAGGAGAGACTTCCCTAAGGGGAGAATATTTACCAAGGTGTTGCAGGCAGTAGCTGTCTTTTGCCACAAGACAAGGGGTTGTTCTTCAAGCAGTTTTACACTTTCAGATATTACATGGCTCAGAGGTTTAAGTGTTAATGGATGTTTTCTTTACTTTGTAGGACATTCCTTGCTCTTCCAGTAATGTGAAATAAGAATATTTGGCTTATCTTCAGTTTTATGCCCTCTGTTTATAGATAATTATAACTGCAGGAATTAATGACTTTTTGTGTTTTTTGTTTTGTTTTTAAGGAGGCAGGAAGAAGTAAGAGCCATCGTTACTGGCCTAAACTGGGCTCTAAGCACAGCTCAGCCACTTATGGGAAGTTCAAGGTGACAACAAAGTTCCGCACAGACTCTGGCTGCTTTGCAACTACTGGTCTGAAGGTCAAGCATCTTCTCTCTGGACAAGAGAGGACAGTGTGGCATTTGCAGTACACCGACTGGCCAGACCATGGATGTCCAGAAGAAGTCCAAGGCTTTCTATGTGAGATTTCTTTATCTTGCATGATAAAATATGTAAAGGAGAAGGTTGCTCACACTGAATTCAGTTCACTGAACCCGGTTACATCTGGGATTGATATTAAATGGTTATTGCTATGGCATATAAAGGCCTCAACTAGGTTGTACTTTGCAGCAATTTGGAGAAAAAAAAGTGGAATTTAAGAGGTAGGAGCTAAGGTGATTAACAGGAGAAAAATTCAAGGCAGCAGCAGTGCCAGAGACTCAGGAAATTTTAAATAATAGGATACCTCTGCTGGCTGATCTATCAGTGTAAGTTATCACCACTTCCCAGTTACCTAATGAGTGTAGGCTGCACACTACACTAATGTGATTAGAGAGGTCTGAGTGAGAGAGGATCAGGTTTTAGTGAAATATGGTGCAATTCCTCTGTTTTTTCTTGTTGCAGAATAGCAGAGGGCTCTATCACACATGCATTGAGTTTGAACTTGCTACCACTTTCTAACCACATGTGATGCTAAAGGGCCTTCCCAATTACTTATGGTCCTAGTTCATGCATTTTTGAAAATACAGTTATAATATTCATCTGCAATGTGTGAATAACACTCCCTGCTTCTTAATAAGTAATGTACTTTCCCATATTAAGTAGTAGGAATTCAACCATTATTTATCTAAAGTGACATATCTCTGGCACTATGGCAGAGAATCTTTAAATTAAATTAATACATATTTCTTTACATTAACACTGAAGGAGCCTGTTCATGGTGTATTGGGGTGTTGATGATGCCTCCCCTTTTAGTTCCCAAAAGATTTGCAGCTGCAGTTTAGCTCTGTGGCAGCTAAATCCCCTCTCAGAAAGATCCATTAGTTCTACTTCAGTCTTGACACAGCTACAGTCCTTTAGTGGTCCATTCTCCTTTGCATGGTACAAGCTTGATGTAAATACCGTGTCCTTCTTTTCCCAGTTCTGTCACCAGGGCAAAAAAAATAAAAAATGACATTTCGGCTTCAGCAAAGGAGTGCCAAGGGATCTGTCTTTAAGGAAAAGCTATTGCCCAATTCCTAGTTTGTTTCGTACTTTGTTTCTCTTACCAACTCTTGTAGCTGTGGTAGGGCATGGCAGTAATTGGAACCTGATTGTCCCCATTTCCTCTCTCCCATTACTTGCCACCACTTACAGTCCCATTTCACTGTGTGCATTAAAATTCAGCTTTTCTGATGTTCGTGGGCCTCCAGCCACATCCTGCGTGTGGTGAAAGGACAGCTCAGGCTGCAGTGCCATGCCACCAAGAGTCAGTGCAAGAGAGTTCAGCTCAGGCCTCACTTCCCACTCTGACTGCTGGGAAGCTAAGTAAGCTTCCAGTACTTAAGGTTCTCGGTGCAGTTTGACAGTAGAATGTGTTGTGTTGAACAAGGCTAGGGCAGCCACACAAGGTAACTGTTCTAGAAATGGCTTCAGGGAAAACTAAGGCGGTGGTCTCCCAGAAGGGCTCATAACTATTGAGAAACAAACCTTGAGCAGAGAGGTGGGTGAGATTCCATCCCAGTCTAGAAAGGAGAAGGAAGGGAGGAAACAGGGCAGATGGATGCTCACTTCCCATCTGATGCTGGCTTTGACAGACAGTAGTTTCAATAGGAGTTAGCTTTTGTTTCGATCCCAGCCTGTTAATAGCAGGAATTGCTGTAAGTAATGTCTAGAATCATCTGCTTAGGGGACCTGGAGATTTGCAAGGGGGAAAACGGAATTTAATTTTTTAAAAGAACTATTTAATTTAAAGGAGCAGACTCCCAAGTAATAATTGACACCCAGCTGGTACTTGCTGGATGCAGTGCTGTTCCGTGGACCCTGGCCAAAATAATTAGTATGTTGTAAAAAATGTAAATTTTTGCCACTTAGGCAAAGAATGACTTTTCCACATTCTTTCACCCTTTCCCCCCACCACCAAATTTTACGTTTAGACATATAGATGTTGCAACCTTGCCTGCATTTTACCTTGCAGCTTACTTGGAGGAGATACAGTCGGTGCGTCGCCACACCAACAGCGTGCTGGACAGCAGCAACACCTGCAACCCTCCCATCGTGGTTCACTGCAGCGCAGGAGTAGGAAGGACTGGAGTAGTTATCCTAACAGAACTGATGATTGGGTGCTTGGAGCATAATGAAGTAAGTCAGCTGCTTTTGCAGGACAAAACCCCTGACTCGAGCTCGTTCCTTGACTAACTAGTTACATTTCTGAGGTTAAAATTAAAAGTCATCGAAGTGCTTTCTTTCTCTGCTACCTTTGTGAGCAAGGTGAGAGCCTTAAATGTAACAGGCAGAAATTTCCCATGGAAGGTTACTTGTTGCAGTTTTCTGTTTACTTGATATTATGCATTTTTATTAGGATTATTTTAATACATTTAAAATTAGGGCTTTCTTCTCTCTTTTAAGAATGCAGTCTAATTCATACCAGTATTTAATTAAAAGTCTAGAGAAAATGTGTTTACAAGGAGTACCTGAAAGAGGCTAGAGAATAATGTCCTTTCTCTTTTAACTAAAGTTTTCTGCTCTCTAAAGTTGCTCCTTAGACTTCTTCCTCCCTCTCATATTGACCTTAATCTCACCTGGAATGAAACTTCACTTTGTTTTAAGAATAAGGTGTGTGTACGTATTCCTATGGGGAATAGGGTTTTAAGATTTGCAGACAATATGACGAGTAATACAGTCTGGAGTTAAGAATAAGAGCACCAGTGCAAGTAACCATGTGTAGCAACTTGCTTTTCATCTGTGTCATGAAGAAACTGTCTAGGAAGGACATTACGTCTTAACCAACTGTGACACACAGTTTTCACGACAGCTATGGAAACCAGGGATTTCTCTTGCCAAAGAAAATGCCCTATAAGAGAGCATTTGTAGAGATAGAAATGCAGCAAGAGTAACAAATAGACATATGTCATCTGCCTCTCCCAGTAATCAGCCACTGGATGAGTTCAGGGAAGACTGAACACTCCAGCAGCTTATCACTCGTCACTCTACAGTTCCAAGATGGCTAGAGATCTTGGGCTCAGGTCAGCTGACAGACAAACCTCCTGCAACTCTGCTTGGGCCTCACTAGAGGTGAAACTGTCCTGTAGATCTGTGTCACAACTGATACTTTTTCCTTTGCTTTTTATTTGTGGGGGAGGTAGGAGGGTGAGGAAGGGAAAGAAGCAGGTGGCCTGGACAAAAAAGGGCCCACAGGTATGTGTTTTGGGAATCCAGCAGCCTTCCTGTGCTGATTGCTGCTCAGTAGCTGCTCCTGTGTGGGACAATGGCTCCAACTCTTGAGCCTGCTTGACCTTCCTTATGCACTGGCGCCTGGAAGTGACTGCCTCTGTTGTGCACACAGTAGCCATGAAATTTCTGCGTTCCAGAGGAAAGGTGGACAGTTAAAAGAGCTGTCCCTGAATTGCTTGTGAGCATCAGTGTAGGTGTGCCTACTTTGTAGCAACCTCTGTATGTGCATAGAAACAAATACCTCAACATCTAAGCATGGGGGTAAGCCCTGACATCATTCATAAGAATTTTCATCAACTTCTCTAGCACCTGATGGTAGTGCTCAATAATAAGGGATTTCTCTGATGTCCCTTAATTAAAGGATTCTTTTGTCTTGATTATTAATGAAAATCAACATTAATATTAAAAACAATTTTCCTTAAGGGCTTTGTTGCACTAGAGTGTACTAAGTTAATGTTGTTGGTTTGTTAAAACCTAATTGAAAAAAAAGATTAAAAATCCTAACAGTATGATTTTGGTTTGTGACAGATACTTCATTCTGCACAGAGATGGTTCCTTTTCACTTGTTTATTTTGTAGTGGTATTAATTGGGTTTTTTTCCTGAAATAAAATTACTTAACATTTAAAACATTTTAGTCTTAGGAATTGGTTGATTTCCTCAGAAGTGTCCTAGTAAGTAGAAGTGTCAGCATTTTAGCAATGAAGGAAAATGAGGAAGGAGTTTCAAAATCTTGATACAGATTGGAATGTAGTGCTGGAACAAAAAGCAGAAGCCTGGAGTCTGAGGTTTCAGGTTTGGGTAAAAAGCCGTGTTTAACCAAAATCTTTACCGCTTCAGTCATTATGGCTTCTGGGCAATGGCTGGTTGAGTTTAAATCTGTGTATCTCATTGCAGGGATAGCATTTCAGTCACTGCTGCACAGCAAGTAAATGTCACATCATTACATCCTTGCTGCTGTAGACACGTACTAGAGGAAAGTAATTGAGATCCTGCTCTATCAACTTTTAGTTTAGACTTGGCACTGGGACATTAACTCATGATTGCAACTGCAGCATGTTTTCACAGGAGAGATCTTTTAGTTCAGGAGCCAGAAATGAGTAGCATTTTTGTTTGTTCTGTTTACAAGTGCCAGCTTAACAAAACATTATGTGCCTTTTTTTTTTACCTTTTTTTTTTTTTTTTGACATGTACATCGTAATGAGGGTGAGTTTAAGGATTCTGCTTACCTGGAGTCAAATGCTAAGTTGGCTATAAATAGTGAGGTTTAATAGGCAGGATGGGGTTTTCTTTCATTTCTGAGAAGGTGAAGTCATCTCCATTTTGAGGAGGTGCACCGATCACTTTTTGTCCACTAAAAATCAATGAGCTGTCATGCACCAGACTGCCAAGAGAGGAATATGGTGTGCAGGTCAAAGCTGGCCTGCATTTTTGTTGCAGTTTTTTAGGTGAGATTAAGTTCCACTTGAATCTCCTCAGCAAGGACCACGTGGCTTTTGTAAGCATAGGAGTCCACAGGGAGGCTTTCTCCAAGTTAGCCAAGTTAACTGGAAAGTGCATTTTTCTTTGGACCTGTTTGATAATAATATGGCATTACTCATCCCAAATTTTTACACTTACTTGTTGGCTTTCTAGAGATGTCCTTTTATAACAGCTTGTTGAGGTATGTGACAGAATATTTGGCCTTGTTTTCAGAAAGTGATAGCCTATGAGTTAAGACTTGTTTACATGGAATGGACATTCTGGGTTTTATATATGGACAGAAATGGATATGCAGCGTGACTTTTATTTTAAACTTTCCAGGAAAGTTCCCATGTGTCTGGAAGCAGATTCCATGCTCAGCTAAACCTCCAAGGGTTAGCAGCAATCTTACTCAAACTTGCTAAGTTCCTTTTTGTGTTTCTGTAATGGCAAAGTGGCACTACAAACTGCAGCTTACGTTGCCTGATAGGGTAGCTGTTCTTCAGTTTTGTATCTTAAACTGCTTAAGAGCTTCCTCAAAACCAGCATGAATTTTAGTGCTTGCATTTACTGCTGCCATAGAAAATTTGTATCCCTCATCCTGGGTCATATTACACGCTGGCAGGCTGAGCTTCATGGCTCAATGAATTCTGAATAGCTCCTTGTGTACCTGTTGTAACAGATAAAACACAATAGCATCATAGGTTTTTTTGCTTCCTAAATGCCAGTCATCCAATGATAGCACCTAATGAAAATTGCAGTGATTTTTAATGTTTTACCTCATGGGCCTCTGTTTCACATGACTCATTTGGTTTTGAGTTCAGACCATTATAGGGTGCCTGTGCCCCAGTGTGCTTGATGGGGTTAGGGCTGTATTTTCATAGTGGATCTCCTTATCTGTGCCTGATTACTGTACTTTAGTTCCTGCTGCAGAGCATTTTTCAGGGCACACGAGTGAATTTTGTTTGGATGAAACCAAGCTGGAAGATGCCTTCTTGGAGAACACCTAACATGTCCCAGCTGCTAGTGGATGTTCAGTAGATGGCAACAAATTGCTGCTGGCCTAAAGTCTGCAAAACATGTATTGTGGATACTGGGTCCTTGTTTCACTGTACAGACCTATTTCTCCTGGAGTGTTATTTGCTAACATAGACTTAGCTGTGAAAGGTCAGATGTTGGCGTTTCTGGATCTTGTGGTGACAATGAGTTCCCTTCTCTTTTAGTGAAAGGATCAGTATGTTTGCCTGCACTTTTAGTTTTGTCCAAGGAACCTTTGTTCTTATGACCCTGATGCCTCTTTGCCATTTGAAAAATCTCAATGATTGTTTGATTTAATGAACCTACGTCCTTATGCTTTTTTTCCCCCTTTGCTTTACAGAAAATGGACGTTCCTGTGATGCTGAGACAGCTGCGGGAGCAGAGAGTGTTTATGATCCAGACCATAGCCCAGTACAAATTTGTTTATCAAGTGCTCATACAGTTCCTGCAAAACTCTAGACTTATTTAATCTTTTCAAACATCCCAGACCCAGCTTTGCGGATCTGACTGAACCTTACCGATGAACAAGGAGAACTGCTTTGACAACATTGTGTGCATATATTGCACTTTTTAAAGTTGTCTTGAACGTAAGGAATGATTGTTCTTTACTAGTCTCCCATGAATTATTTTATACAAGATATAATTTATTTTTCTTGGAATAACTTTTGAATTACTTTGATAACTCGTAAATCTTATAGCAACCTTCAAAGTGAACCACATTTGACATGACTGGTCTGCATTGTAACATGTCCATAAAAGGAGAACAATCCTTTGTAAAGGTAGTTTACTAGCTTTTATTTTGCTGCACAGCTTCTGAAATGAACAGGTATTTGGCAGTGGGCTTTTTCTCACGTGAGGACGTTCTGGATGCAGGTATCTGGCTTCCGTGGTAAAAACAAGACCTGCTAGATGTCAGCTACAGCTCTGTATGAGTGGAAGTTGAGGGTACACAGCACAGAGATTTAATTTCTGCATGTGCATCTAGGCACGTTACAGAGGGCTCAAACAACAGGACATTGTGAGGACAGAGAGTTTTGGGTGCTAAACTGTTCAAATTCCACAAGAATTACGGTTTTAGATTAGTCCTTGAAAAAATCAATACTGGATCTTTTAAACGAGGCCTTTGCTGCTGTGTGCAGCCCTCAAAGGGATTCATAAGAAGCAATGTAGGGTGAAGTGCAGTGACCCACAACAGGCTGAAGTCAATGAGTGAGTTTTTTCAGTAATTGCGGTGGACTGAGAGTTGAACAGCATAGGATTTTCAACCAAACGCATCTGAAAAAAACCAAACAAGCACATTCTCATG